GAGGCATACAATTTCTACTAAACCAACTTGGATTTAAACCAGCATTATCATCACAATTTACATTCTGGAATTGTGCTCTAATAATTTGAGCAAGCAACCTTGCAAAATCCAAATTGCAAGTTGATAACCAACGCACATGTGACCATACAATAGATGCATCTATTAAAATCATATAATAGTAAACGGTCCACATGGCAGGTGACTGGGCCCATATATATATCACCTTCTATTCGTTCCAGAAATCAAGAGATTCAATCCCAACTTTAACTGGTATATCATGAGAATAAGCTCACAAGAGAATTCTTGAAGAATCTTCTATTTCTTCAATATATGCCAATGTGAATTCTCAATTAATTTTCGCATCAATAAACCGGGATGGCCAACCGGTCATGCCAACTGATATTTATTTTATTAAACATTTAATTTACTATGGCATGTGATTTCATCATCATGCTTATACATCTGTAGTACAAATAGAAGCAAAATGGGGTAACCTTCATATTTACCCGGTATGTTATAGTAATATGATGATAATCGATATTTCTTTCATTTATAGTCTCAATATGCCAACCACTTTGGCTAATACATTTGAAACTCAAAAAGTTTCTTTCGAGACTTACTACCACCAATGCCATGAATAATTTTATTTATTCGGATAGTAACAAATTCGCTCTTTTGGAGCTCTCAATAATTTTGCACTACAAGATCTTTTATAACACCATCCAAGTGGTGAATTTTTCCTCCACGGAAAAAATTATCTTATCATAATAATTGTCATGGTCAAAATCATCATAAGCAAAATCTTTTCTTGCTTTAATTTTTCCTTTAATAACTTTTTATAAGGCATGTCAAATTATTTTTTGGTGTACCATATGCACGCGACCAATGACATATTCATGTAATCACACAGTAATATTCACTATCTCTCTTTCTCTCAAACCTCCCTTAAAGGTGAGTTGTGGTGTATATCCAACCATGCATTGCACGTCTATATTCATTACTTTTATCACATATTGTTACATTCACCTTCAGGAATGAATCTGCATTCTCAATGCACAAGTCACATTCTCTTTAAAGAATGGAGTATAATTATCGCGACGTGCTTTATAAAATATATGCCAATTGGATGGTAAATATTTCCTTCACCTATTGAAGGATTACTTCGAGAACCCTTATTGTTCTCCTTTTATAGTGATGGCAACTATTATTTCGTCGCTTGCCATGCCCTCGTACATGCATACAGTCATGAAAAATTATTTTCATTAGTCATCATTAGATCATCAATATGGTGCATTGGGACTCAAACCCAATGCCTTACCCATATAACGGCATGTAAGGCTACAATGCATTGGGACTCGAACCCAACTCTTATCATCATGTTGCACCAAGACTCAAACCCGATGTCTTGTTCTCATGGTACGTTGGGACTTGAACCCACCGTGTTACCCTTATCCAATGTCATAATAGACAAAAATGCACTATGACTCACCCTTGAGCCTTTAAAAAGTATTACCACTTTGATTGGTCCATAATGATGTAGATGTAGATCTCTACCCGATCTTGTGTCCTAAAATTCTTGATTTTATTTACAATGATGCAAGTATGTGGTAATCTACATGCATTAGATTAATATTAGTATGAATATGCAACATCTATATAACATATGAATTTCACGAATGAAATAAAGGTTCCTTGATTGCTTACGTATAAAAAATAAAGTTTGATCATAGTCAAATGTATACAACAAGCAAAATTAAAAAAATGCATGTAAACTCTTATTTCAAAGATTGATTTGAGTATAAATGAGCAGAACTCAATCCTAACCAATACTTTCATTTTTATTTTCTCAGATCTCTCCTTCTTAGGCATTAATTACCAACTTTAAAGCCCTGTTAGTTTCTAGTGAATTTTCTGTTTAGAAATCTAAAATATAGCTTCCAAATATGATGATGTCGCACTACACAATAATTCTGAAAATTTTAACCACAATACCTACTATTAAAAAAATGTATGTATTTCAAACTAAAATAGAAAAACATGCGATATCATTTTCTAAGGTGTCTTCGCAAGAACTTATGAACAACTATCAAAATTAATTTACTTGCCAACAAGAGAGATGAACAATAACTTACAGAGATGTTCTTGAATAGATTGGCTATTCATGTAATGACAACGACCATAGGCATCAATTAGCAAAAGAAAGTATCTACTTACCTTTTTCTTTTCCTTGGATATGAAACGTGCTCACAATATCTACTTACCCTGCCGCCAAATTGTTATTGGCCAATGCCATGGAAGTTAAAAGAGCACCTACCATATAATCTTGATAAAAGATTATGAAATGAGCCCTTCGTGCTGATAGCGTGTTAAGAAATGTAGCTCAAAGTAACAATATAAAACAAGAAGATAAGTAGAATAAGAGAAAAAGAGATAACTTTCTTATTTCATCAAGTGTTCAAGTGTGTACAATGTGGTGCCAAAACCCTCTATTTATAGGATTACATAGAGGCATACAAAAGAATGCCATAAACATGACATTAAACATTTGAGATCATGGAGGGAGATCATGGGGAGGTTATGGAGGTGTGAGAGTTACAACTATAATGGTGAGAAGTAGTAGGAGTTATCTACATAATGGAGAAAAGTAGTGGGAGTAACTTCTTTAGGAGTTATAGACATCCACTACAAAATATAATATTTCATAACAGTTTGTTCATAAATTTTATCTATATTTTGGCAAATTCCCAAAACCCAAAACCCAAATCCCAAATCCCAAAATCAGCTGGCCCAAAATATCATTATTAGATTTTTTTAAAAATTGCCCCAAACTTTAGTATTTTATAAAAGAGCCCACCATTTATTAATTTGTAACAATGCTATTTCGTTTTCTCGGTCATCTGATAGTGAATTATGTAGTTCATTATAAAAGTGATAATTTTGTACCAAATTTATTAATGTTCAAGACTATGGTTTGCGATAATATAATGGATGTTATTGATTAATGTACTGTTGGGTATTTGTGATAGTTTTTAGAACTTGTGGGTATAAGTCATATTTCATATTTTTTCAAAAAAAAAAAAATATGAAATATCTTTTGAAACTCATGTCCAAAAATATTTTCATCTTCATCCAAACTTCACCCGAATTAGATTTTCAAAACAAATTTGAAAATCTATGTTCACACGGTAGCTAAATATTTAATACATTTTGAAGATTGAACAAAAGCTATTGATTCACAAAACTCGTAACTTACTTGCTAGATTCCCCCGCATTTAACCTTATCCTTCAATAACTTGTTTGGTTAAACTTCTAAAATTAGTTTATTTTAAAAATTATTTTATTTAAAGTGTTTTTCAAAAAAAAATTTGTAAAAAATAATTTATGTTTGTTAATTAATTTGAAAAATACTTTGAAAGCATACCTTTTAAAGAGTAAAGTGGAAAAAGAAATTCTTTTTATAGCGAATTATTTATTTACAATATATTATTCAAAACGTATAAAGTTACAGTTTACTTATCATAAATTTTAATCATTTAAATACATGATTTAAATCTCGTCAAATGCCTTCCCATTTCTTCCTTCTCCTTTTTGATTTATTTTTAATGTGAGACCATTCAAGAAAAAAAGTCAAATGTACTTGAAGTATTCGATCATGAAAGTCTTTACTTTTTTTTTTTTCGTCTCAAATACAATAACCCTCTATTGGTTGCTAGCTTAGCTCTGATATTTAATCCGGTGGAGCCATGTAGACAACTAAAAATCCAAAATTTTATTTAAATTATCAGATTGACATATATATACCTTTTGAAATAATTTGAAATATACACCTGAATTTCAACCGAATAAGATTCATTATGTGGAAAAAAGATAAAAACGAAATTTTATGGACTGTAAGATTGAAGGAAGGCAAGAGGAAAATAAATTGAAAGCAATATTAGGATGTATTTGTTCCGCGAACAAATATAGTTGACAAAGGTCGTATTTTTTACACGATTGAATACAAGTGATACAGGCCGGTAACAATTGAACAGTAGCTACGAATGGTAATAAGAAAAATTATAGTTACGATCATTGGCGGAGCTACCTTATAGGAAGGGTGTCAAATGACACCCCTTTGCGAGAAAAATACATTGTGTAGTTAGGTAAAAAAAAATTTATATGTATATATATTATGTATTGACGCCCCTTAATTTTTTCATATATTTACTTTTATATATTTTGACACCTCTTAACGAAAATTCTGGCTCCACCACTGGTTGACTTTGTTCCACGGTAAAAAAATATTAGTACTCTTTCCGTCCTAATTGACGTGAATGTGTTTGACTGAGCACGAAATTTAAGAAATAAAGGAATATTGTGAAATTTGTGGTCTAAAACAATCAATAGAATTTTTTGTGGCTAGAAATCATCTAATTAAGTATAGAAAGAAATATTAAAGTTGAATTGTTATTATATACTCCATCCGTTTCAGTTTATGCGAACTTATTTGACAGCGCACGAAATTTAAGAAAAGAGATACACTTTTAAACTTGTGGTATAAAATAATGCACATATATTTTGTGTGACTATAAATTATTGCATAAAAAAATTATTTTCAAATATTAAAAGGAGCAATTCTTCTTGGCAAGAACTAAAAAGGAAAAATATTCATATATAAATTAAAATAAAAGAAGTATAATAATATATGATTTTTGAAACTGATCGAAAAGGAAAGAGTGTTACGAAAAGCTCAAAGTTTGTCTGTCAAGTGGACACAATAATCCGAAAAAAAAAAAAAAAAACCTGGGCACAATAATGAAGCGACGAATCTGACATTGAGAAGCAGCAGTCAAATTCGGAATATGACTAAAACTGTAAAATAATTAATATAATAAATCCTCCATATTTTTATAGAACAAAATATCCCAAATTCAATTTTGGTAAAAAAATAAAAATAAAGAAAACCAAAACTATTTCTATTCAAAAATCAAAACCCAATATATGAATAAACTAACAAACAAAACTAATAAAGAGACCATAAGAACCCTCCCAAAATCCAACCTGTGACTGACTGCGTCATTCACAAATCGCAACCCTACACCCAATACTGGAATTTTGGAAAGTGGGTTGCATTTTTGTATTCCGTGATTCCTTTTATCTCTTCCCTTTTTTCTCCTTTTTCTTCTTCCTTTAGGTATATACCCATATATAGGCTATAAACCATATAGCCTGTATAAAAACTCTACATCAATTTTGAGAATTCGATGATTTGGGTCGGCTAAAAATACAATCTTCTTAATACCCTTTTGAAATCTTGGCACAAATTTGTGAGGTATTCCCTTGAATCTATCATAGTTTATTTTCTTGATTTTTTGTTTTTGTTCGGAGATTTTTCTGTTTTTTAGTTTTGTAATAATTGAATCTTGGATTGATTAAGATCTGTGGTGATGTACTTTTTAGGTGGAATAGTTACAGAGTTTTGGATTTTTGTGTTTGTTTATACTGCTTTAGGGAATTGTTTAAAGCTTTTCTATTATCATTGTGCTTTTGGCCAACTTTTGGTCCTATCTTTGTTTTGTCATGTATGGGGGTGTGTGTTTAATGATATGTGTATTTATTCCAGATATACTGTATTCTTGAATATACCAAAGTATTGGGTTGATGATATCTCATGATTTTCAGTGCCTTTTCATCTATCTCTCATATACACACATGCAGAGCATTGGTTTTTGGGTGTTTATCTCTGAGCTCTTTTTAGTCAGTTAGGGGTTTTCTCTTGGTGTTTAGGACACTCTTAAAGGTATGTGCATCAATTTCCCTTTGATTGCTTCTTGCTGAATTTGATGAATTATCTTTTACTGCTTCATCCTTGAGCTGGGGTCTATCGGAAACGGCTTCTCTGCCTAGACAATAACCTCCCCAGACCCGACTCATGGGATTATGTTGGTTTTGTTGTTGTTGTTGTTGTGTTGTTGTTGTTGTTGTTGTTGTTGTTGTTGTATCTTTTAATGCTTCATATTGTTTTGTGTCATCAGCTTCTTAGAAATCAATTGGTTTAGGCAGAGGCAGAGCTAGGATTTTGAGATTATGGGTTTTGGTTATTTATACATAGTATGAGAATTTTTTAACACTAATACAAGTCTGGGCCAAAACTACTAGGTTCTGCCGAACTTGTAAACAGAAATGTTGCTCCGCCCCTGGGTTCAGGATAGGCATTCCTTTAAAATCCAGGCATAGAGGAATCAATATCTCTTAGGGCTCGTTTGGTACGAGGGATAAGGGATAATTAATCCCGAGATTAAATATGAGATGCGTTTATCCCACGTTTGGTTGAGATAAAATCGCGGTATAACTAATCTGGGGATTAGTTATCCCGGAATTGTAGTGTTATAGTTACCCCTATGGGAGGGTGGGATAACAATCCCGGGATCATTAATCCAAGAATAACTTGTTTCCCAACCAAACGTACCCTTAAGGTGCTTCTTTGCAATAGAATGCATAGGCCTCTGTTGTGTATTTTGTTTAAAGGTGCTGGAGCTGCAGGGTTTGAATGAATCAATACAGATCTTTTCCTTCCCAGCCTAACTAAAACTTTAGAAATGAACCAACTACTGTCTGATGATATCCAAAATTTCTAATCAAGCGTAACATTTCGATTCCAGTATTTAGGTGTAGTGTGCAATTTTCTGTGGAAGTTCGGTTATATCATTATACTTGTGAAAACATTCTTGGTTTATGTGGTGTAGCATGTTTATCTTTAATAGCTTTCTACAGCTTGACGTTTGCCTATGACAATTTTATAGTTAACTTTTCCTAGCTGGTGATACTGATTTATTTGTTCGAGTTGTGCGTTTGTTGTTCCATGGGTCGTATGTGTGGAGACAGAGTACTACTCAACTCTATGTGGGCTTATCGTGATTTGAGTATTAGCCAATGGTTCATATTGGTACACATTAGACTCATTTGGCCTGTTGTTGATATTGATGATTTTGTAAATCTGTTTTCCAGATGGATACGCAGAACCCAGAACGCGGACATGTAATTGAGGTACGTTGTGACATTGCAGCTCAAGAAAAAGGGACTAAAATCTGTGGTTCAGCACCATGTGGATTCTCAGATGCTAACACCATGTCTAAGGATGCACAGGAGAGATCAGCATCCATGAGGAAACTTTGTATTGCGGTTGTCCTCTGCATCATTTTTATGGCTGTCGAGGTTGTTGGTGGTATTAAAGCCAACAGTCTTGCAATTTTGACAGATGCCGCTCATCTACTGTCGGATGTTGCAGCTTTTGCAATATCCTTGTTTTCACTCTGGGCAGCAGGATGGGAAGCTAATCCACGCCAGTCCTATGGGTTTTTCAGAATCGAGATACTCGGGGCATTAGTCTCTATCCAAATGATATGGCTTCTAGCTGGGATCCTTGTATATGAAGCCATTGCTCGACTTATTCATGATACAGGTGAAGTTCAAGGCTTCCTCATGTTTGTGGTGTCTGCATTTGGATTAGTAGTGAACCTCATCATGGCACTCTTGCTAGGTCATGATCATGGCCACGGCCACGGCCACAGCCACGGTCATGACCATGGCCATGAACACGGCCATAATCATGAAGAACATGCTCATAGCCATTCTGATCATGAGCACGGCCATGGTGAGCATACGCATATACATGGAATTAGCGTTAGCCGACACCATCACCATAATGAGGGACCGTCGAGCCGAGATCAACACTCCCATGCACATGATGCAGATCACACCGAGCCTCTACTTAAGAATTCATGTGAGGGTGAAGGTGTGCCAGAAGGTGAAAAGAAAAAGAAGCAGAGGAACATAAATGTTCAGGGGGCTTATCTTCATGTACTAGGAGATTCTATTCAGAGCATAGGGGTCATGATTGGGGGAGCTATTATATGGTATAAACCAGAGTTGAAAATCATTGATCTAATTTGCACTCTCATTTTCTCTGTAATTGTTCTTGGGACAACCATTAGGATGCTTCGAAGTATTCTTGAAGTATTAATGGAGAGCACACCCAGAGAAATTGATGCAACAAGGCTCGAGAAGGGGCTCTGTGAGATGGAGGACGTTGTCGCAATCCATGAATTGCACATATGGGCGATTACAGTTGGCAAAGTGCTCCTGGCTTGCCATGTCAAGATTAAGCCCGATGCAGATGCTGATACGGTGCTGGATAAGGTGATTGATTATATAAAGAGGGAATATAACATTAGCCATGTAACCATTCAAATAGAAAGAGAGTAGTGGCATGGGAAAGTTTATTTTGGCTGTTGTACTGGTCATTGGCTTCTTTATTCTTTCGAATAGTAGTTTAAAAGGAAAACTTGATCTGGTTAAGCGGTTCCAGTATCTGTTTCATTTTGGTAAATCATGGTTTGAATTTTATGGCAATAGCAAGGTGTCTAGCTCTATTGGAATCTGATTGAATCATGTGTGGCAACTCTGGCCGATAGCTTTGATCTAATTGATTGTAATGAGGAAAGTATAGTTCTTTCCTCAGGGCCGGTTATTAACAAGTGTTATATCTGTAGTTTCGTTTCGTTTTCTGGTTAATTGGATGGGAGCCTTGGCCTAACCGGTAAAGTTGCCTTCAGGGGTTCGAGCCGTGGAAATAGCCTCTTGCAGAAATGCAGGGTAAGACTGTGTACAATATACCTTTGTGGTTTGGCCCTTCCCCAGCGGGAGCTTAATGCAACCGGCTGCATTTTTTTTTTTTTTTTTTGGTAATTTGGCTTGTCTGTCATTTTTCTTTGTCTAAGCTGAGGAGCACCAAAGAGGTGCTTGTCCCTAGTTTTTTTTTGGGTTCTTCTAGCAGAGTGAGAATTAGGAAAGAGTAATGAGCTAGGTCTCATAGCTCCTAATTCTTTCACTCTGCTAAAACTACAGAACTAGAGTAATATTTTAGTGTAAAGAGGCAACTAAGGTATAATGCATTAGGTGCAAAACTGCATGTTTGCTTTATACTTGGTAACGTGTATAGATATCAGTATTTGATACAATCACCGGAACACATAAAAAAAATTGTTGACTCAGTATCTGGTATTTTGTATAATGGTGTGAGATAAGCTTAAATGGAGTAACATGACCGTTGCAAATTCATATAGCCAATCACGACTTGCTTCGATATTAGTGGAAAATGAATTTGTGATATAATAACGATAGAACAAAAAGATTATGATATTAATGAAAAGAGTATGCAACACCTAGCACCAGCAGTTGTGCTGTTAATAGTAACAAGTTTTGTGTGAATTACCCATATACTACATATTTAGATGCTTTTTCTTCTATAGGGGAGATTTTACACTGCCTTGACTAAAAAGATGTGAAATCAGTGCTTGAAAATCTTGGTCCTGACCGTCTGAGAAACAGGTATTTGGAATTTGATGGTTTTGGTAGAACGGTGTCGATTGAAGAACTAGTTCCATCTGTTGAACATTAGTCAATATTGATTGTTGTTACTATACTCAGTGNATATATATATATATATATATATATATATATATATATATATATATATATATATATATATATATATATATATATACACGTTTTACTTTTCTTTTCTTATATTTAAATATAGAGTTCGAATCCAAAAGCAGTAGGTTCTGTTGAATTGAACCCACAAAACTCGACCTAAATTCGCCTTTGATAGTTAACAAAGCTTTTGTTATTGCATATACAGTCAGACCTCTCTATAACACCATCCTCATATTGTTGAAATCTAGCCCTAGGTTCAGCCATTAGAGAGCTCGAGCAAGAGAGATCAGAGAAGATGATAGAGAGAGATGCAGGGAAATGAGAAACAGATTTTCTGTTACTGCACTAAGGAAAAAAATAATTGTACACCCCTATTTATCTTAACTAACATAACCTGAATTTAACAACTAACTATCTAACCACCTTCTACAAGAGTACAACATAAATACAGCAATGTACAATCATTTACAACTTTTAATTTCAACACCCCCTCAAGTTGAGAATGAAAAGATGTCTTTCATTCTCAGCTGGTTGTTCTTGACCGGCAATATAGGAAGTCTTGATCAATCCTTCCTGAATTTTCTCAGATGAAATGACAGTATATTTCTATGTGTTTTGTTCGTTCATGATACATAGGATTTGCAGCAATTTGCAATGCTGCTTTATTATCACAAAACAGCTTCATGGGCAGCTTTAAATTCACATTCAGTTCTTCCAATAGACTCTTCAACCATACAAGTTTAGCTACTGTGTGTGTTATACCCAATTTTGTCCTACTTTTCTTCTGATTAATTGTCAGGTGCTCCCTAGTCATTAATAATTTAATGCTCTATCTTTTTTATTTATTTGTTACCTTTATTACTACTATTATTATAGTTATAATTATTGATTACTACTAGTATAGTCAATATTATTATTATTATTATTATTATTATTATTATTATTATTATTATTATTAATATTGTGTTATTAGCATGATTATTAATATTACCATTAATATGATTATTATTGAGTTAATCATTTATTTTAATATCTAATATTATATATGTTGAAAGTATTTTTATTAAGTCCAAATTATTAAGACATGGAGCCCAATTAAATTAATTTTAAGAAGGAAAGATGACTTGAATTTTCGGCCCAAGAAATTAAGCAAATCGTTCCCCCCCAAATAATCCATTCAGAAACCCTTCAAGAATGAGCCCATGCCATTACCAAATTTACTCCTTTTACCTGTACCCAAAACATCAAGCCCAAGTCTAGGAATCCTCTAGAAAACCCAATGACCAAAATAGCCATCATTTTTAATTTTGGTCAAAATAACAAAATCTTTCAACTTTGTCTCTTTCTCACGTGAAATTTCCTCCTTTTTCAGAAAATTTTTCCATCTCCAGTTCCTCTTTTGCTTTGCTTTCCACATGACAGGGAATAGCTTCACCAAAATGGTGAAAAAGAATGGTCAGCCATGGAGATTTCCTCTAAAACGGCTCTTTTGGAGCCTAAAGCAACCAATGACTCCCCTCTACGTTTGATTTTGAATTTCAAATCCCAAAAGCCCTAATCGTTTTTTCCTATAAATATTCCCAAAACCTTCAGCCGAAGAAGACATTCTGGAATCTTGAAAAATCATATTTATACTTTTATTGTTTGTACTCTATCTCTCTCTCAAGCTTCAATTCTAATCCAAAAGAGTAGATCTGAAATCTCAAAGTCCTTCGTTCACTGCCCCCCACAAGGTCAGTGATTTTCTTTTTTTTTTTTGGTTTATTTTGATTCTGAAATTTAGAACGTATTCATGTTTTGGTTCCTGTTGTAACGTAGTTATTAGTTTTCTTCCGTTTCTTATTTTATATGTCATGAAATAATTAGCAGCATGACTTTATTGATTTTTTCCGCTACCGTATGGGTTCGAGTTTCTCTGTATATTAGTTTAGTAAGAAATCATGTGCTAGGCTCTTTCTCTTATTTTTAGTATAAAATACGTATTTCCTAGGTATGTGGTAGATTGAAGCTCTGTTGGAAAGTGTTTAAAGAGATGTTCATGTTGACTTGCCTCACTTCTTTTTACTGTCTATAGGAAAAGTTAATGTGTGTCAATTGTGATTTGTTCATGTAAGTCCAGAAATTGGCGATATTAGTATTTGAGATTCATGACCCCCTTTTCATATCTCGGATATTAAAACTCAAGGATGTAATTTTGGGTTAGACTTTTAAACTTTAATTGATGCCCAAAAATCTAGTTCTGTTATGCTAAAGTGATAAGCTCGAACGCGTCGACTGCTGATCGTGTCCAACCCCGCACCACTACAAAGTGGCAAGAGCGGTCGATGCAGCTTTTACTCGAGAAGGTCGGGATCGAATCCACAGGGTGCTAGAACAATGTTTGGAGTTGGATTTCCATCTAATCTAGCAGTGCGTAGTGCTCTTGATTACACTTCCAATCATATTTGTTTGTTTGTTACTTCTAATTTTATGCTAATGATATGCGAAATTAAGCTAAGTATGAATGCTTGTAAGGTTTTATAAATGGTTAACGAGGCACTAGGGAAGTGACTTTCTCCTAGGTGAATACTTGACGGGTTCTAAAGCCTAAGGCAAAGCTGTTATGCTTGGAATCGCGATATAGCCAATGCACGACACTACTCACTCTATACCTCTCGGTAGCTTGAGTGACTTTGCCCTAATTGACTTTCTCAAGACCAATTGGGTGTCAAAATTATGCAAGCAATGTAGGCTCAAGTCGGGTATTACTATCTCTAGATTTAACCCTTTAATTGGGGCTATGAATCTCTTGAATACGCCCCAATTCCTTGTTGGACTGATTTTCCTAGACTCAAACTCTCTTTCTCAAGAAGAGCCCAAGTCAAAAAGCACAAATTAGTGTTTGCAACCACTAATTCGACATGGAAAACATAAATCAGTCCAAATATCAACCACCCATAACCATCTAAAGCTTTAGAACAAAAGACCCATCAAATACCCACTCTAGGGTTGAGCCACAACCCTAGCTAATGGGTCTAGCTACTCATTATAATGGAAGAAAACAGGTATTTAGATGAAGAATAACCCATATAATATGATTACAAACTAAGAATTGAAGATTCAATGTTAAACCAGCTATAAAACTACTCAAAATAGGCTAAAACCACCGTTCACATGCTCAGCTAAAAGATAGATGACCTAAAAATTTGAAAAAGAAGTATTTATACAAGGCCAAATTTTTTGGACAAAAATACCCCTGACGGAGGTACCGCGGATCGCGGAAAATGCACCGTGGCCGCAGTGAGGCTTTTTGGCTTGATTTCTGAGTCTCTGAATCTGTCCACCGCGGACCGCATAAAATGCACTGCGGCCGCGGTGGCTTTTTGCGGTCCGCACAAAATGGACCCCGGACCGTAGTGGCTTCCAACTTCCCAACTTCCAGCTCTCTGAATCCCTTCTCCGCGGACCACATAAAATGGATTGTGGCCGCGATGAGGCTACTGCGCCCGCGAAGAATCTACTGCGGACCGTAGTGCTTAAGCTTCCAAAATTGCATCTCTCTGATCTTTTCCACCGCCGACCGCACTAAACAGATTGCGGCCGCGGTGGGTCTGTTGCGGCTGCAGTGGATTTTATGCTGCAGCAGTGCCTTGACTTGTTCTTGGTACTCATGCAGGTTTCACTCCTTTTTTGAGCTGATTTTGACCACTTGTCACTTTTTTGACCAAACCCTGCAAACAAGTACAACATAAGCCTTTGGACTATTTGTATACATTTTTAATCAAAACTCAAGTAAAAAAGAGTGTAAAATGAACTAGAATCCCTAGTTATCAACTCCCCCAAACTTAAGCTTTTGCTTGTCCTCAAGAAAACAAAATAAGTCCCACCTCCTTAAGAATACAACCAAGAAAATTCAGCTGACCTAAAGTGACCTCATCTAGCATCAATTGGGACTAACAATTGCCCTCAATTCAAATGAATCATTAACAACATTCAACCTTTTAAACA